CATGAGGTCCACTTTACAAGCTGGAAGACGCCCAGCGTAAGTGAGGACAAGAGGGGAGGGCCCCAGAAAACCCTGCAGCCCCTCATAGCCAAAGAGGTCCTGCCAGTTCCAAGACACCAAGGTGGAAGACCCGGAAGAGGCTCACCAAGGCAGAATGGGACTTTCTCATTTCAAATGCCGGGTCCCTTTCATAAGTCAAGGGAGAGGGCATTTGCTTTGGAAAACAAGTGAAGGAATTTCCTTTCCTCTTTCTCTAGCAGCTGGAAAGGGAGCAGAGCTGCTAGAGGGGGAAGTGACCCTGGGTACAGGTAGGGTGTGAGTTGAAAGCTGATGCCACTGCCTCCTGGCATGCCTTGGGTTATCAGGTTGTAAAGGAAACTCGGTAGTGATACTGAGAATAATAAATTAAATGGGCAACTAGGGGAGTGTGATGCTTGTTTAAAAATAAAAGCAAATAAGAATTTCAAAATTGTTAAGAAAAAATGCAAAACAACGAACAAACGATAAAAACATAAAACAACCCGAGGGTCAACAGAGTCAAAGCTCTTGGGGTGGGGTGCGTGGTCGTCCCACTCCAATCTCTATCAATGCTCCTTCTTGCCGCGGGAATTCACTGTGGCCCTGCCCAGCACCGCTGCAGGTGAGAGCAAGCCCTGCCCTCACTCAGACACAGCGGCTGCATCAAGAGGACCAGGGCGGGGCGGGTGCGAGGTTCCCCTTGCTGGGTTCCCACCACCCAAGAAGGGATCTATCCATGGCCAGAGCCATCTCAGAGACTCCCAGGCAGACCCAGCAGGTTAGAGTGGCCCGGGAACCCGCCCACCGTGAACCAGGACGCGGAGGTCTTGCACATTAAAGCACCCAGCGGAAAGATGGAGACCCAACTAAAGAGTTAAAGCAATAGTGACCCGAGGGGTCCCTTAGGGGAGGATTAAGAGACCAGACTATTGGTGGCCATCATTCTCAAAGGATTGCGATCACCTGCAAGGCGCGCAAAGCTCGAAGCGCCCCACGGATCCTGCTCTCGGCAGAGAGGTGGCAGCCCTGGGTGGAACGCGGGCATCAGGTCCCGGTACCTGGCTCCGCTAGTCCGCAGAGTGCCCTGGGTGTGTTTCTGGGCTGCGCCTGCGGCGCCCTGACCAGGTCCCCTGGTGGGGCGGGGGCGGGGCAGGCCTGGGGCTCCGCCCTCTGATGCCCCGGACGCCCCAGCTCTTAACCC